TTACGAAAAATTGAATTGGAAATCCATAGAAAAAAACAAACAAATAAAACAAAGTAATGCGTTAATAAAAGCAACTCGAACACTAAGGAGAGTTTTGAAATATCGGGAACTGATGTCACTTGATCTCCAGTGAAAACCAATAAACACAATGTCTGTAAATGATGAACGTACATTTGATGCAATATCGAATCTAAAGATTAATCAAATTTGAATGATTTTTAATTTCTCGCAAATTTTAATTTCATAAACAAATTATGACGGTTATAGTTTGTTCCTTGAGCCATATATATTCTCGTAAAAAGCGACTAAATAAACACGTTATAGAAAAAGATGTCACTTTCATCAGAAGCAGAAATTGTATTTGGACTACAGAAATCTAAGAGTGATGTCGAAATGAAAAAAGATTTCAAGAGATGGAAAAGAAGCAAAAAAATATATTTTCATGAGAGAAAGAAAGAAAGAAAGATAGATAGATAGATAGATAGATAGATAGATAGATAGATAGATAGATAGTAATTATAAATATATCCAAGAAGAAGAACGAAAAACTAATAAAGAGATGTACAAAAAAGAAAAAAAATGATTAAGAATAGAATAATAGAATGAAGGAATATGTTAGAAGAGAAGCAATGGAAGAGTCAAGAAAAGAACGAAAAAATAATTGTATTTAGTTGTTCATATCTCAAGATTGGCAATACACATTTCTCTTAATCTATCGATTTGAAGAACATATTATCGATTGATTCTGGTTTACAAGTGACTCGTGACTTTGATTGTTTTTGGTTGTTCGATCATCTGCAAAAATAAGCAATAAACAAAAAGTTAAAGAAAAAAAGAAAAAAGGTTTACTTAAAGGCATTATCGACTACAGTAACAATAATACGCAAAACAAAACGCAATTCATTCTTGTATGAATAACAATAATCAGGTTAACTTCAACTGTATTTGATTGGATTTAAATTTATAAAAAGTAATTTACGGTTTTTCCAGGCAAACTTTGACGTCCATCGACGTTCTCAGAAAATTTAAAACAACGCTTAATTCCTCCCTCAGTTTTGTCATATTTTCTTCGTGTCCGTAAGAGGATTTTATAAATATCGGTATTTTTAGGAATAGATGGAAATCCTTAAAGTAAAATAATCCGTCAAAAATATTTGCTTTTAATATGTTAGTCTTAAAGCTTTACCAAAGGCAACAGTCAGTTCAATATAAATTCTGGAAAAAACAAACTGTGCATCTAGAAATAATAAAAATAACAATATTCCAGCGATCATTTAATCTAGAAAACCGGATTTGGTAGTCGTAACAAAGAAAAGAGAATGTCATGTAGTGGATTTTCCTATTACAAAAGATCATAACTTAAATCTGAATGAAAATGAAACATTGATAAGTAATCTCTATTTTGCCAGGTAGCTAAAGAATTCGGGAAACATGAAGTTAACAGTAGTTATTGGATCGCTAGGAATGACTGCAAAGAACATAGTAAAGAGGTTGGAGAAATTGGAAATTAGAGGAACAGTTGGTACCATTCAGAAAAAAGAATTATTGAAAACAGAATACTAACAAGTGTTTCTGAGAGTTGAAAAGATTTGCTGCTACTTAATCTCTGATATAAACAATTACTACTGCTGAGAACACCCACTGAATGAATAATAATAATAATAATGTAACAAAATAAATTGCAGATGAAACGATATCAATTTGTTTACGCAGAGGACATTTGAAAAGAAAAACGCAAACCTATTAATGGTATCCAAGAAAAATAAAGGCTAATATAGACAGAACATAACAAAATAGTAGATGTAAAGTATTTTGAGATTGAGTTGTGAAGGCCAATCATATAGTGATTCATATAATCATTCATATAATGAAAGCGCTCTGTTAGCACATCCCAACTAGGATAACCGTAGCCTTTAAATGATCATCCTGCAGACAGGTAGTGTATAAATGCCTCTTCAAGTTCAAAGTGACATTTACCCAACAATCAGAAAATAGTCTTTCGAGAATGACATAATAACTAAAGAATAATAAGTGAATATTGTTAATTGGTTTAGAATGTATACAAAAGAATAACTGCATTGGAAAATCTACAAGCAAATAAGATTTAACTTTATAAAACAATGGCGTAAACCTAAATTAGAAAGTCTGTTAGAGAATAAAATACATAAAATTCTTTGTGATTTTGAAATTCAAGCTGACTACCCAAACCAAGCAAGAAGATCAGAACTAATTAACATCAACGAGAAGGAAAATATGTCAGATAGAGGATATCGTTCATCTATCAGACTACAGAGTGAAAGTGAAAAGTTAGAAAATCATCTAAACCTTGTCAGAGAATTGAGAAAAATGGTGGGACATTATTAGCCTTCTTGGAACATTCCTAAAAAGTCTGGCAAAAAATAAAAAAACAAAATAAATGAATCAGAAATCTGAGAAAGAATTTCAACTATACAGATGATAAAATCAGCAATAATACTGAAGAGAGTGATGGGATAGTGAGAAGACTTGTTATAATTTGATTTTCAAGGAGGTCACCAGCTATACACAGTGTAAAACTCAACGAATAAAATTCATATATATAAAACACAATGCGTGTGTCTGTATGTGTGCAATACTTTTTACAAAGCGCTCAGATATGACATTCTGATCCTTAGGAGAAAAGTTCATATTAAATTATACCGTCATTTTAGCGGATATTAATACTAGTATATTTTATTTTTATTCAGTTTTAGTTACAATTTCAAAGTTTTCAACGATTCTTTATGCATTGCAATTATTAACTTTGGCTTATATTTTCATCATGTGATTTCGTTTTCATTGGGCATCCCGCACGAAACTTCAAAAGAAATTATCATAGACGCCTCACCTATTGATAAAAAGAAGTTCGTTTCTTCATGTGTACTCTGTATTCCTGGCTTTGTACCAGACTAAGCCTCAATGGATCACTATTAGATGCAATTTATCATGGATTAATTGTAAACAAACTAGTATTATAAATAATTGTTACGGGTTCATTTTTCAACTATAGTACCACTCGTGTGGTTTACATTAGTTAAATAAATATCATAGTCAGTGACTGTCTTGGACATCAAGTTGTAGTTTAATTTCAATTTTCTGTAGGCTTTCTTACGTTAAAATTAGTTTTTAGTATTGATTAATGACAAAGTAATATGATGTGTAGGTATCGTAACGGTTATCGGGAGGGAAAGTGGGATCGCCGGGTTCAAATTCTGGCCTAATTTGCTGTCTCTACTTTGGCAGCAATAAAAATGAGAAATAGGCATAGATCCATTTCTCTTCTCTTAATCTAAATCTAAATTGTAGGGTAAACATGGCTCTCAAACTTTGGTTGGTAACCACACTAGAATGAAAATATATCCGAATTCCAAACCGTAAAAGCTACGGGAAGAGACTCTATTATATTTCCCAAGATAAATTATGGAAATTATATAACAGGTAATAAAGGAAAAGAAGCTGTAGCTAGTCATGTCCATGTAGAGACATGGCATAAAAAAATAAAAATGCTCGGAAAAAGAGTAGTTAGAATGGATCAATTTTAACGCAATATATGCTAATATTGCAGTAGAGTTATTCTTGATTTTCACTATGAGTAGCTTTTTCTGTATAGCCATACTTGTGAGGCACCCTGTAGGGCTTTCAATTCAACAGTAATGACCTCTAACCTGTACTCAACGAGATTTATCATTTACAAGCAGGATGTTTCGAATTTCTGCTGGGCAATTCCACAATTAAAATAGAAATAGAAAAATAATTTATTTTAATTAGATATGGAATATTATATTAATTATTCATAGTTATTCGAGCAGATGGAAATATCTAACTGGCAATACAATGATCTAACTCATTAATTTTATTGTCAAGTACATAGTATAGGATAATATAAGACGGAAAAGCAGAGTATCTCTCTCTATCCCCACCCCCTGTCGCTTTCCTTCATGACGTCGGCATTCATGGTGCTCCACAATTTCTTGTTTTTTATTACTCTCAGGAATACTTCCTTCTTCAAGGCTACTCTTGCTATAATTTGATTTTCAGTGAGGTCACCAACTATACACAGTTTAAAACTCAAAAAATAAAATCCACATATATAAAACACATTGTGTGTGTGTATATGAGCGCGTGTGTAAGCAACACTTTTTGCAAAGCGCACAGATATTACACTCTGATCCCAAGCAGACGTTACTTGTTCCTTCATTCCTCAAATTATTCATATAGTGATAGTATTTTGCTTTGAAACCGGTATTCAAATTTTTAGCTTATACACGATCCTGAACATTGACAACTAACGCAATCCATCAGATGCAAAACGGTTTTAAGTCTGTATATTCTAAACTTAGTTTAGTTCTTGCAAGTACAAGTAATGTTTAGTTTACTAAACTTAGTTTAGTTCTTGCACAATGTACAAGTAATGTACTCTAGTGAAGATTGAACATGCTATTGCGAGTTTAAATGTTAGAAATGTAAAGATATTTGATTAAAGAAAATATGTACATAATTAACGTACGTGTAATGTTTATTTGTACATTTTACGAGATATGCAAAAACCCCTGTTTTAATATTAAAAAATACACCATTAAATGATTAAATGTTAAAATAACTATTAAAAATATTTTGCTAACCGTGCTAATGTTACTGGACTACGTCTTGAAAATCAATAGCGTTTTTTTTTTTTTTATTGCTGCTCGGGTTAAAAACAGAATTTATAAGCGGTTCTGATTAATTTCATCTGTTTTTACGGCTTATCAATCATTTTCACGTTATTCAAAGCTAGAAAATATATTTAGATTGAAATATTTTTAAGAAATTAATGATTTACTTATACAAGTTCTACCAACTAGCTGGGGAAAAGCGCTGGATTCATATCTTTTTTCAAGGGCTTTTGTGCGTAAGTGAATATAACGAACCCAACTGGAAATGGAACTCGGCTAACCGATTTTCAATTTAGAGCCGTCATCCATTACACCAACAGCATGTCCAAGCTTACAACACCTGGTAATTCCCAAGCGGTCACCCATCTAGGTACTGAGCAGGCTTGATGTTGCTTAACTTCGGGGATCGTACGAGAACCGGCGCTTTAGAATTATTTAAGCTTATAAATGGTTCTTACTGCCAATTTACTTGTAATTAACAAAATTATTACTTCCATCATATCAAGTAGAAAACATCTCTTAATCTTTCCGTATATATATATATATTATTTAGGCCCATATAAAAAGTGGGAAAAAGAATAAAAGGAAATAGTTTAACTTTGTTCGGAAAGTAAAATGAATTACCTGACCTGTTGTATACGCACATACATACACACGCGCACGTGCACAAAAAGTATACAGAAATAAAAAAAATTGATAGGATACAAATATTATGAAGCAGATTGGACACAAGATATTTTTTTCAGATTCAGGCGTTACTATTGAGTATACATAATGTATCCACGCTTTTGACTTTGCTCTGATGACCACAGGTACTATTATTTTCTGAATTATTACGCTTGAATAATTTAAAAGTAGGCCCGAATATCCGCTGTGAAGTCATGGTTAGCAATTTAATCTAGTAAACCATTACCACTGCAATGAATCCAGTCCACAGTAAGTGCCTCGTGCTAGTTACCTTGTGCCCGACTAAGGTAAGTCTCTTATGCATTGACTAATAAATTAGTTTCCGAGAAGATTAACAGTGTTATAATGTGGAAACAAGGTTAGGATAATAGTTTAGAAAGTACTGACTCATATAATGTACTTGTATATTTTTAACGCTGTCCATTTTTCTTTCCGGTGTGCATCCACGACAGATACTTTTTAAGAGCTGCTTATTTATTTCTATTAATATATATATATATATATATATATATATATATATATATATATATATATGTGTGTGTGTGTGTGTGTGTGTGTGTGTGTGTGTATATATATATATATATATATATATATATATGTGTGTATATACACACACACACATATATATATATATATATATATATATAAATATATATATATATATATATATATATATATATATATATATATATATATATATAAGGAAAGAAAGGAAAGAAAATCTTTAAAAATCCATTTTGGGTACAATTTGTTTCATGTATGTATTTAAATATCTCTTCAGACTGAAAGTAAAAAACCTTCGTTTTTATAATTATTATATTGCTCTGTTACTTACATTGAATTCTCTTTGGATTAATATCCTCCTTGGAATTATCCTACCAATGAACAATTATACATATATATATATATATATATATATATATATATATATATATATATATATATATATATATATATATATATATATATATATATATATACACACACACACACACACACACACACACACACACACATATATATATATATATATATATATATATATATAACTAGAGAATAAATATGAATTTACAGTTAAAAAATATTATTTCACTTTCCTTAGATATTTTGAATACATTTAATAAAATACATTTTTCCAAAGACGGTATTATTTGTATTTGAATCCCAAGCCATTTGCCTTCGTATTCAAATACAGTATCTGTAACTGTTCACATATGCTATAACTGTGCCATATTTCGGTTGATATTTACAAAATCTTCTCAAAATATGTTTTTAGGAAAACAGGTTTCATACGTCCAGTAGCTGTTATCGCTCTTTCCAATATTAATGGGTTTTTTCCGAATCTTTTATTTGATGTGGTGTGGTATGTTAACATCTTGATTATGTCATTATTTTCTCTTGTGCTATCCATTTAAGTTGTTGCTGTTGGTATTCTACAACTGATGCAGTTTCTATTATTTGGTACAGTTCTTTTCTGTGATACTGTAGCCCCAGGCCACAATGTTCAAAGCAGGATGATCTTTGCCAAAATCTTGTCTTTACTCGCTCGAAGCCTTTTTACAACTGATCTTAAGAAACAGCTGTATACAGCTGATAGTTTAGATATTTCTGACCGGTTGTGGTGCTATGCGTGATATCCATAGAAAAGTTTCAATCTGATGAGGCTATTTAAGAGCATGACGAGTTTTCAGCTTAATGTTTGAGTTTTGTAGCAATTTGCGGTATTGAGTGAAACTACCGCTGGCACAGCCTATTCTATTTTCAATTTCTTTATCTCTTATACTTAATTTGTTATAGCTGATCCATGCACCGAGATATCTAAAAATACACGATGTGGAATCAATAAATACTAAATATTTACTAATTCCACATCTTGCACAAGGTTAGGATAATAGGTTCAGGGTAGATGCCATTGCTGTTTTTATTCGAATTGCAGATCATATTTTCTGTTTTGGAATCTTGTCTCATTTCTTGGAGTACTCGATTTTTCTGTTCAAGATGATCAACTATGAACACCTTTGTTCATCAGCAAAACCCCACCCTATCATCATCAGTACATTGGCTTCGGAAGGTAAATCAGGATCGTTGTCCTATTGGTAGGCTTGTTTGGGATGCATCATTGAATGCTTAAATGTCCAGTGTCTATCTCATCACATCAATGTTTGTAAATGCGCTGGACTTAGTCTAGTCTGAACCATTTTAGTATTGCGGTCCTCGCCAGATATGTAAGATTCTGTAGATCGATAGATCCTCTGTTAGATCACTGCATTCAGTGGATTCGGAGCTGGGAAGGCGGTTTCTAATTGATAAAAAGATGCTGCTGTGCGGTCGACAAAGCAGACGTAAAGTTCCCTATTATACAGGTAAACAATTTCTTGGGGTTGTTTGATGACATATATATCACCGTTGTGTCCTTTATCAGAACGAAAACTAAACTGAACCGTGAGGCGTTGATTTTCGTAAAATGATGAGAGCCTAGTTAATATATTTATTAATCCTTTCACCATTTATTATCAGATTTCTTATTTTCTGCTCATGACTACTGATTTATACACCTGTCCAGAATATATGACAATCGAAACTTTCCACGTATTTAATATTTTAATTTACTACAAATTGTTTTGATTTCTAATGTTTCTCTACTGACTTTTCCAATTTCATGGCATCTGATTACAAAATAACCTGATATTTGTAAATTCCATTTACATTGAACTTCTTGTTATATATTTCATTTCTTTATTTTGCCTTTATTTTTATCTTGTTCAGTATCAGAATTACACATTCGTCGATGCCAAATTCTATTATATCTTGGCTGAAGATTCTGATTGTATGAATGTTCCAATTGCTTTTATCAATATAGGCGTCTTATACTTATACTATTTACATTGTTCGGGCTTTTGTCCTCATCTTCAGTGCCATATTCACGACGTTTCGATTTGTTATACGCCACGGCGTATCAAGTGATATTTGTTGGAATTTCGAACTGAACCCTTTATTTAGTCCACGGTGGTAGATTGTTCTAATTTCACGTGCCATGTCCTTTCTGGATATATCAGTTTTAGTTAATTTCCCTTGATAACTCAACTCACCAAGTTTCGCCGTTTATATGGCAGTAAAGATGAGGACAATGTAAATAGTGTAAATAGTTATTCTTCTATATTTGCACATTGTTGCAGGTATTAATTTTAGATCAACTGTATGGTATAGAAAATATATTTTAGATAGAAATATATAATTTCATTAACTTTATTTGTAGAACCTAATCTTAAGAAGCTACAATGAATGGATTTTAAGTGGAATCTGTTTATCAATTCATACGCCACATTTGTAGCCCTATACTGAAATAAATTAATTTTAAGGAATCAATATTATACTCTCCTTGCTATGGAGCAATAATTAGTAATCTACTGTTGTGTAATGTTACTAGTATGGTTAGTTTAAATTTCCACCGATACCTTGTATTTATGATATTGTCATGAAAAAGTTTAAGCTCATTAAATATTTAAAATTATGGAGCACCTCACTGTAAAATTATCAGCAGGCTAGTTTCAGTCTCTGACAAGCACTTGGTGCTTTATAATCGCTAACCTGTGGAAATGGTAACAGGAATTTAATATATTCTATCTTGCTTTGCTTTGTTAATTAGTCTTCCAATACTGTTGTGAATTTATTCATCACTATATAGTTCAGCTAGTTAAGTCTAGTTAAAACAAAAAATGATTTTAGATACTAATTTTCTAGAGGATGTAAGTAGGCAAGCCTTATCAATTGAAAACCATCGCCACAAAATCTACCATTTAGCTTTGTATCATGCTAAGATAAGGTTAGCAATTACAAAAATATCAAGTTATTGTAAATCTTAAATTGATGATGGCTTATCAAGAATCCCAGAAGAATGTTTACGACTGTTAAAAATAAAGCACAATTTATACTTTTATAAAGTTTATAAAATTAGCTTCATATATTTATCATTAGTATAAAATGAATTGATTGATAAATGTTATGTTCTTTTTTTATCCATCGCTTAAGCGATTTTCTTTCTGGTAATTCATTCAATTACCATCGTGTAATGCTTTCTTTATAACACTTTGTTATTTAAACCTCTATTTATATCTACTTACGTAGGAAGCAAACTTGATGAGTGTTTCTTGTGATTTTCCTTCTTTTAAGTTCCTCATTTTATTCTTTAATTTCTGTTTATTGTGCAATGTACATATAAACCCTCTTTTTGCCTCTTTATAAAATAAGTTTACACAAACAAAGAGAAAAGCAAGGGAAAAGATATATGTGGGAAGAAATTTTTTAAAAAGTATTAGAAATATACAAATTAACAAAAAAGGGTAAGAAAAGAGAGGGAATAAAATGACAAGAATCAAAAATACATTCAATCAAAATAAAATCCCAGAATATATAGCGATTGTTATTTCCTGCTTAAGTGAATACAAAAGTGATTAAAATTCTCAGCATTTGAGAGATACAGACATTGGCAGATCTACTATGAAAGTAATGAAGCTTAAACTTCAAGGCCCCTAATCCCAGAGAAGTCCCTGAAGAATCTTTTTTAATGAGTGAATTTTTCAACAAAATCGATGTATTTTTTAAGAGTTTGTTATTAAAAAAAGGGGCCATTTTAGTGATAGTCACAATGTAATGGGTTGAAGAAACTAATGTTGGCCTTAGAATATACTCAAATACCCATTTCATATGGCCTCAAAACTTGGTCAAATTACTTGGGAGCTTGCA